TGCCTCGATGTTCACTGAACTTACTGCTCTATGGAACACTATTTGGGACAAGGACTGGCGAATGTCAATTGTCGTATCCATCTTCAAGAAGGGTGAGCGAACATTGTGCAAAAATCTTGAAAGCAATAACCTTATTTCCAGTGCCTCAAAACTTCGCATGAGTATCATTCTTCGATGACTTACTGGAATACACTATCTCCTGAGCAACCTACGATAAGTGGAGTTCGTCAGATTTGTCCTATTTCTCTTCTCCTCTAAAAATGTGATCGAAATGATCATAAATGACTCGGTTCTTTCATACTCTACCGGAGTAGAAGTTCTGCCACCCACCGACCGACTGACAAACATTGAATATGCGGACAACACAGTTCTTCTTCGGTCTGACGCAGTGGTTATGTGAACACTACTGAGTAGATTGACGCGCGGCGCTGCACACTTCGGCATGTGCTTAGCACCTCCAAAGTGCAACGTACTGTTGCAGGACTGGACTGACACCCACCAGTTCTAGCTATCACCGAACAGCCAATGGAAGTGGTAGATCGGTTCCTTTACCTTTGTAGCTGTCACCTCTGGTGGTCACATCACTGAAGAGATTGCTTCGCGTATCATCAAAGATAGCGTGGCTTTCCAGAGGTTCAACCATCTATGGAGACGACGGGATATCAGCCCGTCAGTGAAACGTGCGTATAACGCTGCGAGAAGGCCGATGTTACTGTATGGATCAGAGACATGGCCAGTTCGTTGTGAAGACATTAAACGCTTGGCCGTGTTTGACCACCGATGCTTGCGGAGTAATGCTCCCGTTTGGTGGGAACATCGGGTGAGCAATGCTGAGGTCTGCCAGTTAGTTTGTGGCAACAAGCCTCCTGGTGCCTCATCGGAGTGTTTGTTGAATCTTAATCACTTAAGTTGGCTAGGCCATGTACTCCGTATGCACGCTGACCTGCTTTTCTCGGCGTGCATTACACGCAGTCGCTGGACCAGGTTGGGCGGAATTGCGGGGTGGACCGTCCTTGATGTGGCAAAGGCATGAAAAATTGACCGAGAGACTCGGCCAAGCTGATGCATGCTATCCTCGTAGATGGGGAACTCGGGATGCTCCACACCAGAGGATGGGGACTACCAGACTTGGGGAAGTCGCGCAGTCAGTGGCGTTCTTGCATTCGGTTTCTTGCATCGAGTTGTTAATGTTCAACCCACTCTAGTTAGTCTAACGCATATATATGATTCCAATTTCTTTACATTCTATCTGCATTAAACACCACTACCTAACCGTGGTTATCCATCGTTATTCTGGAAACGTGTGTTGTGGCAACTGGATCCACCCCACCTCGATGCCCCGATCATAGCTGTTCAACCGAACTGAACTGAATATGCCCCTACCGCTGATGGAGAGACGAACGCGACCATAGTATCCGGCTCGGAGAATAAGGCAACACTTCGACAGCCAAACGGTCTGTGCTGCTGTTGTTTCGGTAAAATGCTTGCATCCGCCCTTGCTGTGTAGGTTGGCTTGCCGAACACTCTCTTCGTGGTGCCAGCTGGGTGGTTCGGGATTATCCCATTCCAGCCAATCGTTCGGCGACAGTGGTACAGAACGCGGTGGGTTTTCATCTGGCAAACGTTCGCCCCATAGAAAGCCACATATGTCCATCTAACAACACTGTGACGTGGCGGAGGTGACTCGCCACTAAATAAAAGCCACTGCCCTTGTTTCATACCGGTGAAGCATTGTATTCCAGCAACTTAATGCTGAAGTTGTGGGGAGCATTGGGCCCCTGTTTGGCAAACAAACGAAAGGCGTATGAATCGAGCAATCAGTCACCGGCTCCCAACCGGCGCGATTCCCTGAATTCGCTCCGCTGCCTTGCGGGCGGGCTATTCGGCCAAAGGCTCGGGGTGGTGTACCTTAAGTCAACATCCTACCTCGGCTTGGGCAACCGGGTAGTATCTCGCGCTCTGACGAAACCATGGACTCCTCCGTGTTGTGTTTTCTTTTACGATATCTGTACCTTACTTTGAGTTCCATGGCTTTTGATAGCTCCATGTCTATTCGTAGACTGTTGCATATATATATATATATATATATATATATATATATATGGCATACGATTAAAGTCACGACTGTAGTTGACCACAAAAGTGGCGACTTTATGTTTGATGTCAAATGAACCATGGGCAATTTCACACGAAAACAGTCGTTCGTAGATCTGTTAATTCATCCCCTGGTGCAGCGGTCAATCGAAGCTCTTGCACGTGGCAGAATCTGTTTTTATGCAGCAGGATAGAAACCGGCGCCATGGAGACCGGAACAGCATTGGGAACTAAACCGAGTATCTTTCCTTCCGTGGCTAGTAGTTCGAAACAGCACCCAGATAAATGTGCAAAAAAAAGAACAAGGATAGGACGAGTTGTAAATTCAGAGTAGACCAAAATAGAGACGGTGCAAAGTCGGGGAAAGAGCGGCGATAAGTGAGGCTTTTGTGTCAGCGACGGAGGCAACGGCGAATTTAGAAACGCACAGTTAGGAAATAATTTGTACAATGTGGAAAACTGTTTCAAGCGGATATCACCGTCGATCGGTTGTACGAAGTGCTCTGAAAAAATGAGATATGAAGCTCTATGGGCCGGCGCGTTCAGGTGTAGGAGGAAAAACACTAGGTGGGGAGAATCGGAGTTGGAAAAAGGACGAATCGCAAAACAAAACGTCCGGATTAACACGATGGGAATTTTGGTAAGAATAGGAAACAGATACGTGACGACCAGTGTTGACGGGGCCCATGTGTGAAGAGGATGTGAGGCGAACACGTAGCCTTTTTCTATCGTTTATTGCAGCATGGTCATGTATGTGGTATTGTAGTCTGAGATTTGTGGAGGGAGCCGGTGATTGAGCAAACAGGACAAAAGGCCCCTCAAAGGGTCGATGGCAAAGAGGCACAGGAGAAAAATGTGGGGTGCAAGATGCGGATCTTGATAGCTTCGCTCATGGAGAATCAGTGAGGTGAAAACTGGAAAACATATGTTACATGCACAGTTCAGGTTTGCAAAGATCCCCATTGCATACGCATGATGAGAGCGGCTGGCGTAAAACTGAAACAGAGAGGATAATTGTGATTATAAAGATGAGATAAAGAAGGCAAGAAAATATACTAAAGTCAAGAGAAGGCGTATGGCCATGCTACTAAGGGGTACGCGTGTCCGTGTGCTGAAGGAAATCATTCTAGCCAAATCGGTTAGACGTGCGCAAGCACTTTTGCAATGATGGCCTCCGCCTACTGCAAGCTGCTAGGTGAACCAACGAGTTTTGGTTGAATGGGCAATGTTTAATTTGTGGTATGGGGTTAGAAAATTGGCTCACATGAAGTAATCGGGTCAGAGGCATTCTTTGGGAATGGTTTTCATTAGAGATGCAATGCGAAACCGAAAATTATGGCACAGGGCTCCACGAGGACAGACAAAGGTCGACAATGGAGTGTGACAGGTGCAACAACCAGGACCCGACCGATTCAAGTTATATGGATAGGAAACTGTATGCAATAAAGAGGGGGACCGATAAGTGAATGAACACTGACCCAGTTCATCACACAAATAGTAGCTAAAACGATGGGAGAAGTGCTAAAATATAGTCTGTACTAAAAATGCGGAACGTAGCTTTCAAGCACAGACCAATTGTGCGATGAATGCATCGCTAAATGAGAATGAACAGACAAGTGAGATTATCTATAAGATTCGGTGAGTATCCGTACTAGTTGTCAGCAGTACGCGGGGGAACACGGTACCGACACTTCGCTGCCACGCGATCAACACCAGTCGCGCATTGCTTGAGTATACCACGAGGATACCCGCCCCTATGCGGATTTGAACCGGTGACTTAAGGATTGTAAGCTAGAGGTGCAATCCTTATGGTCACCGACCGACAGTATGCATATTAAGGTAAGGTTGATTTATTTTGACACGAAAATAGGAACAGATGCGAATGTCATTGAAAAAACAACTCACCACCAGGGTTAGAGAGCATCACTAGGGATCGCGCGATCCAGTGGCTTTGGTTGATGTTGCTGCTCTAGTTGCATCTGTTGACGTCGTTGATAGTGCTGTTGCAGTTGCTGTAAGCGCGAAGTTGATCCTGGAATCAGCCGAATAGGGGAAGGTAGATCGCTAAGGTCAGAAACTCGAGGTTCTCTAGCCTCGGTTGCGTCAACTTGAATTTGAATGTTCGATGAAATCGAGTGATGGAAGCGGGAGATATTGGCCGAACTTCCGGGTTCATTTTGAGGTCGATGTGGAGTCGTACTGATTGCCCGTTTACCAAGTTGCCACGTTCCTCGACTTTGGTGGGCGACCTGGTTGCGGCCTACCGGCGCGCTCGAGGTGATAGGCCCGTGAATTTCGGAAGTGTTGGTGGAACTTGAAGTAGTCGATGGCTGTGGCAAGTGGTTGTTCACGGGATCTTTGGAGTCGCTGCTCTCCAAAAGACTCTTCAATAGCTGTGAGGCTGGATTAGGTGGAACTCCAAGGCCAAAGGTCCCATGTTCCATGGGCTTGTGACGCATCCCGACAACAGAAAGATTCGAAGCAAAATCCAAGACGCAAGCTGGATCACTTGAAGAATCGTAAGCAATGGAGTTATATCGAGACAATGGCCCAGTTCGATAAAGGTTAGTGACCACTGGAAAGTGAGTAAGACGAGGCTGAGCTGTCAACGTAGGGAAACCAACCAGTGAGGAGGAACCGGAAGTAAGCGCAACTGCAGAGGAACCCGGATGTTCAGGTGATTTGGGCAGGATCTTCCGGAAGGAGTGATATTTATGGACTACAGTGCGTTTGTTCGGCCCGGTTATGACCGGAAGTCCAGTGGACTGGGCGAGGGAAGGAAGGTTAAAGCTCCGCATTGGTGTATCGGCAGACCTCAGTCCAAGGCTAGAAATTGCTCCATCCAGGTTTACAGTTGTGGATTGGATCGTGGAATCGGAAAGACTAGTAAAATCTCCAATACGAGCGACAGTTGCAGGATTTTGTACCATCACACGGGTAGCGACTTGATTAGGAGCAAGCGTTTCCACTGCAATATGCACAAACACAAGGGGGTATGCGAAAGTTCAATTAGAAATAGACATTCAGTCCTGACAGCAAACGTACAATTTAGACAAATGGCTGAGAAATTAACCTAAAGGGATCTCAACAAAATCTGTGCTATTTCAATGTGAATTATACAACTAAGCTTCCCATAGAGAAGGTTCAATATGAACATACACGGAGTGCGTTTGCAGAAAAAGAGGAATAGTGGAGGCCATGCGATAAAAAACGCCCCTGTTGCTTGAAGACGCTTGTTTAAAGGAACGCGGCAAATAGATGAAAAGCAGGAATAGACTGACTTAAAAGAAGAGAATGATTGGCCAGCACTTGGCGCACGGTCAACGTATGCTCTGGCAGCCAAAGTAAAGTACAAGGTAATAACTCTAAAGTAGACGGTAGAATGAGGACAACGGATAGATAAATGAACGCAGTAGACAAAAAGCGCTACATGGATAACGTGATTAAGCAATGGCATATAGGATTTTAGTAATTTATGCGGCTGATCCTGGATTTCCGAACAGGGAGAGGATACCCATTAATTTTACTCAGCTTTTCTGTGACTTTATGTGTCATGGCAAGTCAATGACTGGCAATACCGCAGTTGCAAATAAATACTTGCGGATTTGGTCAGCAATACACGAGACGAGGCAATGAGGTAACAGATATGCCAGGAACATGACCTAGACAAAGAGAGTTCGAGTTCAACAAGCAACCCGACGCGCTATCAAAGGGTTCGTTGAGGTCTGAGTAGTGCTCTGTAGGTATTGGTGGTCAAAAATGTTCAGCCTAAAGGCTCTAAGCACATAGTGGACAGGTCTCTGATTTGTACAGTGGCACTTACGCATTAACTCTGAAGGTACCATTAGAGCCATAGTAGAAATGGAGAGAGTTATTCGAAAAAGAGAAGAAAACAGCCGCACAAATGGCCTTTCTAGATTTTGCTGTTTTGTTCAAAATAAAATGTACGACAAAAAAGCACTGAATAAGTTGCCTCCGCTTGGCCCGCTTACCGTAGCTTTGTTTGCCATATGTAGGGTGCCACAAGGTTCGCAGTGGACAGAGTTAACTTGGCAGTGAGAAATGAAATCACTGTCCTCAAAACTTGGTGTTCTTGGTCCGCCTCGCCTTTCAGGCTGGAGTCCACGGGATGAGCCTTGTGCTCAGCTCGAGACTTTACAGGACATGGCTCGCGGTCTGTACTGGCGGCGCATCAGCTGTCCTCTCCTATTCGAGTTGTTTGTTTAATGTGTGTTCGGTGCGGAATTAGCTACCGGGTAATGGCCGATTATGACGCGGGGCAGTGAAAGCCACAAGGAAACTATCTCGCCGACACCGCCTTATCCTTGTACGATAGCCAGCTGTTCGTGACGGTTTGTTGTTGACGCAAGGTGCATTGACCCTGAATGTTTGCTTAGGGCAACGTGGTTGTGCGGCAGTCCAAATGGCTGATGTAATGCAGTTAATGATTATGATCGTGATAAAACAGAACAGCATTCATCCCACAGACTTCTAGTAAGAGCCGTAACATAAAAAACTGCTAAGTACTCAGAGTATACATCACTCGCTCCCAAGATGGTAGACGGAGAGATTCAGCTGGTGCTAGATATGAGGTGACACAAGCCAGATTCCATTTCAGCGTATCCGGTTGTACATGGCGACATTTTTTACGGCGGCATGTAGAGACAAAACAAACAGTTTGAGGAAAAAGTCCTGGAGGTAGGAATTGTTCACTTAGTTTACTTGGCCTGTGGCCTGAATATTGGCTATGTGGTGCCGCCATCGCATACGAGCAGCCTTCCGTAATTAGTCGCTGTTGTTTCAAATCTTGCGAACGAAAAGTCAATTCTCAAGTATGCACGACGGGGCCACACTAGCGGGTGCAACGCACACCATGCCTTTGAGCTTCAGGCTGATGTCGTAACGACGCAAGGCGAGCTTTGAAGTTTCACTGTGAATTCTCATCTCCATCATAAGCAGCAACGAAACTCGAGGTTGTCACATGCAACGGTGAGCGCATGCACAAGCGTGCAACCACGAAGCAAAGCCTCACGCTTGGATGGGACAAAGTGAAAACCGTATTTAGATGCCTCGATCGCATTGCAGCGTACCAAACTCTTGGTTGGCCGATAACCTCATACCCCACCGCCTCCACAGGTGACAGATGATATGAAAAACCACACGATTCTAAGCAGTGCGTGCAATAACCACTTTGGTGATGCGCTCACCAGAGGCGACACGCTGCTCAGATATGTAAACCGATCGACTGACATGACCGTTCAGTTAGTGACTCTCAGAAGTGGCAGTGTATTAGGTTAATCACTTGACATTATTCAGCGAAGTAGTAGAGCGTGCAGAGCCAAACGTCAGTCTGTTCAACAGCTGAATTGCTACTAGAAAGTGTGACGCCACTCAGGTGCACTAATATCGTCAGTCTGTTGCCTAACAGAAGCACAACCCCGGAATGAGTAGAAGAAGGAAAGAGACAGTTGATGGTACTACCGGGTACGACAACATTCCAATTGGGTTCACGCAATCTGATTAACAAGTACAAGACATTGGGTCGGTAGGACAAGCATCTCCGCTTGGACGCTCACGCAGACGCGACAGATTGGGTCAGTTAGCTAACTTTCTCGATCGTTGGCACACTCATAGAAGTCATTCATGAGCCGGTGTGTCGAATAGAATAAGAGCATTATGGCATTTTCAATGAAACCGGACATTTCCGCCTTGTTGCTCCTCGCCTACTGTCAATGCTCTGGGTAAATTCTGAGACTCCCAGTTAGACACTGTTTCAAGGTTCAGCCGATACTTTGAGATATAGAGCTGTCTTCCCTTCATCAAAAGGGGCTATGGAAGCTCCAAGAAATTCAGACGCAAATCCGGTGCACCAAGCTGGGTATATAAGCAGTTATGAGTGTCGTTTACACAGCATAATAGGTTGGTCCACTGGTTAGCTAGTGATAACGGGTGCTGACATAAGCGACATTTTTGTTCAGTGAATTACGAGCCAGAAAAACGAGCATGACATGGTCAGAGCTGACACGATTAAACCAGATCACACGACGATACTGGGCTTCCGGGTGCACTGCTTCTTAGTGCATTGTAGCCAAACTGAGCGCTGTGGTCATGATGTACCGTATAGTACAGTGCATAAGCCGAGGAATTCTGGACACTTTTTATGTCTGCAGTGGGGGATGGGGTCGGCTTATACAAAGGAAAAAATCACATGCAAAATCCACCCATAAATTCACTGCACACTTATCTTGCCTTAACACCCCTCGCTAGTGACAGACGGTATCCCAGGCGGGGATTTGAAGTGCCTATAGGTAGACACATTATGTTTGTGTCGGAAATTCTCCGTATATTGCACACTTGACTTTCACAACGGATGGCAGTAACAGAAACATACTGATGACACAGAATCGAACACCATCACTCACAATAACATTGGAAAAAGACATGACAGAACACCACGTACAGGTAGATTTTATAGGCTTATATATCCAAACGCTGCATAATGGTATTAAAATTAATCGAATCCTTCGAAATTAGAATCCGAGTAAGAATCTTCAAACAGTTTCTGGAACTGGTCGTCTGTCATTAGCACGTCAGGGTGAATATCATCATCCGTGCGGTTAAAATCTTTGTTCTGAAGGCTTTAAACCCATTAACTGCGATGATAACACATTAGATCACCAGAATTGTCCAATAGTAGAACAGCTGTCGCTTAAGCACACTCAAGTGAGAGCAGATGGTGATGAAGTCAAAATCGTGAGAAACAAGTTCGTATTTTTGCTGATTTTTTGAGGGGTCGGCTAATATACGGACTTACGATTCAGGACAAATTTGACGCAGTCATACTGTCGGCTCATACACGATAATATACGGCACTTTTATGCAGACGCATGTACTGGAAAGCTGTGGAACTGCTGTGCATATGGTGTTTGGTGCATGGTCCTCCAATAAGGCGCTCCAACTCTGATGGGTGACCAAGTGAAGTATTCAGGTCACTTGCTACGGTCATGATATACGTGTACTATAGCAGTTGGGAAGCAAGCTGTGCACAGAATTATTTGCCGTCGGCATCCGGGATACAATTGGGGAAAGCATATGCCAAAACAAAGGAGCACGGCGCTGCTTCCGGCCGCTAATCATAGTTCCGATTGAAAACCATAGCCTAATCGCACACATGAGGATGCCTTCCGGGATTCGGACGCCGATTGAAGGTGAACCAGTTATAACAAATGTCTCGAGTCGTTGACCCCGCATCACTGGAGGCGCAAAGTGTGCAAGTTCGGTCGTGGATACCTGAACTTGAGAACCACAGATCTATTAGGACGTAGTTGTACTGTGTGCGCTTTTCGAAGACAGCATAGATCAGACTCGAGGGAATGTAAATACACAGCAACTGTTGCTTGTCGACCGGTTTTGTACAGTGTCCGGAATGGTTCCTAGGGTTAAAAGATGGTCTGGATGCTTTGTTCGTGCGGCTGATGAAGTTATTTGTGTGTTTACATCGGCTAGGCTGCGAAGAGGATGTTTGAAAAGGGAAGAAAGCATAAGAAAGGAAGACAGCCTTGGTAACTGGGTACCGTGGACTACGGATACTCTCTTATCACGCAGTTTGAGAGAAGTTGCCTCAGTTAATTTACCACGATCCTTGGATCGTGAGGTTTAGCGGACCTAGTTGCCAAGAGCCGAACTACCTGAATTGACAGTTATTCTAAGTTCAAAAAGATGAATAAAGAGTGAGTTTGCGAATTAAGAGGTTGACGGCAAGTGATGAAGCTATGATACGAAAGAACACAACTGATCCCACAGTTTTGGCTGAAGAATTACCTGAAGACTAACAGGAGAGAGAAAGACCTAGGATGGAGTGGTTCAAACAGAACTCGGCTGTTGCACGAAAAAAACCGTGTGCAAAATGGACGATTACATGGACGAATTCCGCATAAGAAAAGTGACAATATTGAAGATCACTGTGAATCAAATGGGGACAAATGAAATAGCGAATTAGAAGATAAGAATCATCAGATAGTGAGCCAACCACATGCAAGGACATCGTGGGCACTAAGTATTCAAGAAGCGATTCTAAAGTGAACGTTAAGTTTTGAAATCTTGTATCCGGGGTGAACAGGGCCTCTGGTAGGTAAACGCACGACGAATACAATGTTACAGCGGACGTCGAATCACCGAAGGTGAGCAGTAATCAATCTAGCGGAGCGCATACAAATTGGATCATTTCCTCCTAGGTGTTTGGATGCATACAATACTAACGGTCCCATAGATACCAAAAAGAGCGATCGATGTAAACTGTTGGAACGCATGCAATTTGCGACGGCGTTAATGGTAAGTTTAATGAACAAACAAACCAAAGGACGTACAGATATGTGACCTGACTGGGTTGATTGTGTGCAGAGTAGTCACACCAGAGGAACAGACAGGGAGAGTGACGGATGATGGATGGACCACTGGAAGACCAGTGCGCATAGCTGGCCAGGTTGGTCTTGGAAAGCGTACGGTAGTGGGAAGTCCGGGGCCAGAAGAAAACAAAGACGGATCCAAAGGAGTGTGAAAGGCGAGGGGGGTAGAAGTGGAGTGGGAAAACAAAGCAGCGGAATCGCTTGGAAACGACGACGCGTAGTCCACGGGTGACTCGAATGATTTTCCGATGGCTCTGAGTTCGAAGTCATCCGTTTCTTCATTTTCGCTGGGCACCAGCGGCAATATGGAATTGCCAACTCTCGATGAATCTACAGAGACTGGGACTGAACAAAAGTTAGCTCCGCAGTTGACGAGGGTTGCTGACGACACGGGGCCGAATTGAGATGAAGAGAGTTGACTTCGTTCTGATTCGTTCGCTTGCGTTCCTCGGGGATTTCTGGCTTCGGGGTTGTTTGACTTAATAAACAGAAAGGTTACAGGGAAGAAAAGATACTCAACAGGTTCTGGGAGGGAGTGAACGCCAAACAACTCAAACAAAAAACTTGATCAATGCTAAGAGGGCAACGCGAACAGACAAACCTTTCTAACAGACTCCGCAAGATTTGGTAACAGTTATCCTGATTGAGCACAAGTACCAGCTGTGAACATCAGAAAGAAAAGGAGGATAGCTAAGTGTTAGTTGGGAGTGTTAAGGATGGCCGTGTAAGACAGGCAGTACGCACCAGTTCCTAGGGGAAACGTGTGACAGTTATTTAAAGCGAACTTGTTGCGTTTATTTCATCATGGGTTGGATAACATAAGGAAACCAGAGGTGGCGCTTCACTCTCAAGAAACAGACAAGTATGTAATTAATGGGCCAAGGTGGCTACCGTCATTGCATGTAAAAGTGACTCAAGATAAAAATCAACAGTGAGTTAAAGCGGTGGTGGCCTGTTTGGTCTTAGGCCATAGCAAAACGTGGCCAAATTAGATTGGTGTCCACCCTAATCGCACGTAAAAATGGCCTGATAGATGAGGCAAAGAGGTGAAGGCTTGCATGCTTCTAAGCCAAACCGGCACATGGCCAGACAGGGGAGAAAGTGCGAGTGAAACCTTTAAGGGGATTACCTCGTTTAGCCGCAGGTCCTAAGGAGAAGGTTTCACGAATAGCCGTATTACTGTAATCGAACCTTTGACTGTTTTCTTTCATTTTTAAAATCTGATGTAGCCCTTGCTCTATGTTTATGCATTTGTTCCTTTCTGTGGAGGAAATGGTGTAATATGATTGTACAATCCAGACCATGCCGCAAACACCATGCCTCATAAAAAGGAGAATATATATTATGGTTGTTATAATTAAAAACAAAGATACGAGCCGAAATGATACAATCGAACTTATTCGACTGGAATTGATGACAATTCAAAGAAATGGATAACTAGAAAAAAGGCACACTGTGTGGCGTTCAAGTTGTAAGGATACAGCAAAGCGCCCAAGATATGCGTCGAAGCCAAAAATGGCGAATCCTGTATCGCGGAGGAAATGTTATACATGTATGCGATGATGTGAGACTGTCAGACTCTAGATAGGTCCATGCAACGATACCGTTGGGGGTTACACAAAGTGGAAAAGACTGCCGACTAAAATTGTCGTACCATGTTGCGTAAAATTCAGTGGTCAAAAGTCAATGTCAGGAATGCCAGGAAGCAAAGATGGAGAATAATGGAAACAAATAACGAAATGGAAGATGAAGAAAAACAGGCCAGAATCTCCAGAAGAAAAGTTGGATCACAAGAAAATGAGTACGAAGTGTTATAACGCTGTACCCGCAATCGACCGGTTGGTTCACGCCTGCTGTTCAATGTGCACTCTTTCGTCTGCTCTGCTTGACGCCTTGGCAAATCCGACAGGAAGGAATACAGAAGAAGCCTCAGCCGACTAGAGTTGTATTAGAACCGAGAACGCTCATATTTATAGGTCGGTCTCACCAATCCTCTAAATACCGCCTGGCGGATTTGGCTACCTGTCTTCCTCGTACGCCCACGCTTCACAATTGACTGTCCGCTCCGCCTGGCCAGTTCACCGTCTTGCTCGGGCACACCAGTCCTCATCCGCCTGCCCGGGGCATGACAACGTACATGACGTTTGACGCGCGATTTCATCAGCTTTCGGCTGGGTCGTGGCAACACGCTTGCGGGGTCTGTCCCAAGCACGCTTTGTGGCGAACACGCGCGCGTTGGCAATCAGCTTTCTCGTCCCCCTGTCACTTCCCTTTTCGAATTGAGTCAGCCTGCAAACCCTTCGAACCTGATTTTGTTCGTAGCTTTTGCCCGGGGATCGATTTGCAGCCATTGTGGTCTTCTCCGCTTCCGAGCCGACCTGCGTTGTGCATCTGATATTGGCGGCATTTGTTGTGCCTCACCGGGTTGCTGACCCTCAACTTCTAGCCCGAACGTGTCTAGTAGAATGTCCCAATGCAAAGCTGGTGGTTCGTGTGGACCTTGGGTTTTGCCATGGTTCGGTCTCAACTGATTGATGTGCCTAATCCACCTCTTACGTCAACCATCACCTCGTAGATAACTCAGCCCTTTCGGCCGATAACAGTTCCGATCGACCACCCTAAGGTCTTCGAAAATCCCGGGCGTAAACCATGTCACCAACATTGAAGTTACGGAGCCTGACTTTGCGATCTTCCTCTAGGTGACTACTGCCGTGCTTTTCTGTTCTCCTTGGTAAAGATTATCGAACAACGACCGGATCTTTCTTCCAAATAGTACTTCTGTGGGGGATTTCCCATCAGGGGAGTTTGGATTCGGAGCGCTCCGATACATGCATCCTATGAAGCCCTTCTTTGCCCTGCTTTACAGAGTGCACGTTTGAACGTATCCACGAACCTTTCCACCTGTCCGTTTGATTGTGGATGATATGGTGGCGAGAACATCTCCTGAATGCCCTTTTCCTTGCACCACTCGCGAAAAGAAGTTGAGGTGAATCGTTTTCCACTGTCTGTCACTACCATCTCTGGCAGGCTGAAATGTTGGAACAGCTTCTTCAGCTCATTGGCAGTGTGTTGGGCAGTCGGACTGTTTACCGGAATCACATCAGGCCACTTGTGAATGAGTTGACCAAAACGAGATAGAATTGGCCATTGATTGGTCCTGCATAGCCTAAATGTATTCGTTGCCACGGCTTCCTGCTTTAGGCCAAGGTTGCCACTGACACTTGGGAGGGACTTTCGCTACAAATTGACAAGATTCACACGGTTGGCAAAATTTTTCAATTTCCGAATCCATGTCTGGCCAGTAAACAAAACTGAGTGCCAAGGCTTTCATGCGGCTGGTACCAGGATGCCCTGTGTGGAACTGCTGCAATATTTGCCTCTGTAATTTCTATGGCACCAGCACTCGATCTCCAAACATCAGACAATTGTCCACGACTGACAGGAATCCACGTCGATTGTATAACGGCCGCAACTCCATAGGTATGCCTCCATTTGGCCAACACAAAGCAAGCGCTACTGTCGTGAATGGACCACATCGGACGTGGTACCTAGGTCTTGAGGAAGGGAGCCAGAAGCCCCCGTCAACGGGAGACATTCAGATTCAGGTTCAGCGTTTCATTTCCTTTGCAATGCTTGTCCTGCGGGTTCATCCAATTAGGATCAAAGATACAGTTCAGTTCATTTAAAATCTCTGATTCATACACTGACGTCCCGTGGGTGCCGATACCTTGATACACACCGCAATAATAATAATATAATGATAATAATAATAAGATTGTTATTATTAATGATCTGAAAGCGTTGAAGAATAAGTAATTTCATCAGAGGAGATAGCTGATGGTGGAAAAAGAGGAAACGAATGCAGGAGAACCCCTAACTCCATAACAACGCATTTGTGAAAACATGTCCAAACGCTGATGAAACATTTAAATGATGCTATCCAAAGATGTTTTAAGTGTCGATTCGAATTTATTCGGCTTTCCATCCAGACCATGCACAGAGTTGGATACAATGCACTCCCAGGCCGTCGGATAGCACATGACCGAGATGATCCGAGATCAACGGAAGCTCTAGTATGGTATCGTTGTTGCCAAGAATCATGAGATATATTCGAGCAGTACCCACATAATTCTCTCCCCGGCTACGGGCAATACCTCGGAGGTATCAGTGGTCAGACACACTCGGTTTCTTAATGCCTTCAGCGTACAAGGACCACATGACCCGTATCCGCAGCGTTGTAAAGTTTCTTTTTACACAAAAGGAAATATATCTTGCCATCGTTATAAGTAGTCGGCGTGTACGATGTGTTGAATGTTGAGTACCGAAGGAGTAATAGCGATGCCCGCTACTTGGTGTGTAGAGACAAACTATTTTTTTGCAACAAATTGCCTGTTAAACTCAAACCGCTTCCACTGACCAGGTTATTTTTTCGTATACGTACCGAGGGATCATTACGTCGCGTAGTGTTTACAAATGTTGTGATTATCTAGGCAAAAGTTTATGATGGTTAACCAATGACATAACAAAGGTAGTGCATCAATGAATGCCTATTCCAAGGAAGTCCCCTTTTGTGTGTGGTGCAGTCGAGAAAATAGTGGTGCGCTTAAATTGGGTGCATTGTATAACACGTTAGCCGATGTATTCGCCGAAGCAGTGCCCTCTGTGACCGAACAGAGTCTGCTCTGAGGCACCTGAACGAAGGTCTCTGTCGGATGGTCGAACAACAAATATGGAGACCAAGAGCAATGGATAAGTTGGAGCCGGAGTTCTCTGACTGCCAGAAACACTATACTGAAAATCATTGGAAATAAGCGGCAAGAAACTCGATCGATAAATTAAGCGAGACCAGCCCAAGGTCGTCTGCAGCAAAGCTGAGTCATGGGGGTGCAACAAGAAGAAACAACGAGAAGAAAGGAGGATAACTTCGAACACATATACAAAGAAACTGGCTGTAGTTACTAAAAATACAATGGTAGAATTCGCTGGTCCCAACCGGTAAAATGAAGTTAGTCAACAAGAAATTAGAAACCGGCTTTGGAAACCACTTATAGAGTTCCTTCAGTGTGATGCACAAGTGGGAATTTCGCCCAGAAATCCGGGAAAGCCATGAGTGACGGGAATTCGGCGGCGTCCCACACACGAGTAAGGACAATTTAGTGATGTGATCAAGGAAACAAAGACCTGAATGACGGTCTCAGGGCACTTGTAGAATGGTAAAACCTGGAATAAATGCAGTCAAGTGTGTCAACCTCTGATGATGTGTAAATAAAAGCAGCATAAACGGCTGAGGGGTATCGGTGCTGTTCTCTCAACATTGACATCCCACGATCGGTTTCGTCCTCCTTTGGACTCATTAGGTAGAGATAACCCCAGTCAGCAGTGGAGCTCGGAGGCTAATGATTATCGGCTGACACTTTGAGCACTATGCATCTGAGATCCGTGAGCAACGCTTTGCACAGCGGTAAGGAAATCAAAATTGGATTTGGAGTACCCGCCGTGTGGTTGGGTTGCAATACGCAATCTCTATTGAGACCTGGATTCACTTTAAAGTAGACTTCGGTCATTACGATCACGAGGACCTTATCTGAAATGGAGATGTTTCGGTATTGCTCCTCCTTACACTGATAACTCATGACCGGTTTCGTCCTCGTTCGGACTCATCGGACGGAGAGATAGCCTGAGCTGGGGTGGAACGCGTGGGCTCATGGTTCACGGCTGACGCCCTGATGAACACGTCTGGCTGGATACACTTGTTGATATGGCTAGGAGCCGACCTCAATGGCGTTCGTGTTGTGAATTTCTTTGTCCCCCTCCCTCTCGCTTAGCATACTTTGGCAACCATGATCTCATTGACTACGCATAATATAACTTTTTGCGGGATACTAACCGGCTGTTAGCTTTCCGGAACGATGTCCATCCGTTACTAGTGACAGCAAGCATGTCTTTGTTGCATTCTTTTCTGTTCTAATGTATTGCCGCACAATAGCTGGAGTGTTTCCACCTCGAGCTAACGTGTATAATAATGATGATGAGGATGGCTGACACCTTGACCACCAAACTACTGTGATCCGTGAGCAACGCTTTGCACAGCAGTTACGAATTCAAAGTTGGGTTTGGAGTACCTGCCGCGTAATGAAATATGCAGTTAAGAAATGCATGGGAATAAAATCGAACAGCGCAATACAATTCTCGACCCCGAAAGACGGTCAGTTCCTCCTCGCCTATAATCGGTGGAGCAACTTATCCAGAGGGTGAAGACAGGATGGATAATCCCTGTTCACCTAGAAAACGGCAATGGCAATCGCTTCCTGTAACAGAGGCATTAGGAGGCTGAATAGGCATGGGAAGATTCCGCGGCACCATAACGCTAGAAGTCAACCGACGGTAACAGGATCACCAGTTCAGCTCAGTGGTTCCGTAAACTAAACGTTCATATGGAAACGACACTTTAATGGGTGTGTGGCTAAAGTGATAAGTGGTCAAATGTCTGGCAACAGAAACTCGAAACGTGAACCACCTTACCAATCATGCAGTGGTGGAGGATTGGCATAAAATAGCAAAATTCGCTGTTATGTGTGGAGTAAACTAATGTAATTCACCAATCCATGGTGAATAAAGCGCCAAGAAGTTGATATTTGAAAATCATGATCCCACCTTGAGCAAACAACAGGGGGAAATTCACAATGAGGAGCAGAGGAGAATGTACGACAACCCTAAGTGAGAAGTCAAGTTCGTTGTATACCAACAAGAAGAGAACACGAGAACAGCTTTGTTCAAATTGAGATTGTGAGATAAAACTCACTTGAGATTGGGGAGATCGTGCTGAGTTCGACGGTGATTGAACCCGCCCAGATGGACTGAGGAACTGGTTTGGTCTACTTTCGTTGGTTTGAGTAAAAGGATGACCACTTTCATCGTGAATTCGTTTCAGCTTTAGAAGTTGGCTTGCACTCATCGAATTGGCAGGCGTGTAGATATCATCAAAATCCAGGCTTAGGTCAGGACCAGTGTTTGACCTGGTGTTGATGGGTAAAGGTTGACTGCTTGATTCTGTCAATGGTTTTTGTACTCTCTGGTCGTTGGCTGGAAAAGGAACTGAAGGCACGGCTGGAGATGCGCAGACGGGTGATTCGGAAGTTGCGGGCACTGCGGGCTGAAACGCGTGGGGACAACGGAAAGGTTCCTTGTTAATGTGAATGGAAGACCAGGAGCTATCGATGCCGGTTGTCAACAAAAATGGGGTATCGAGCAATTAAGATAGACTGCGAAACTGCAATGATCCTAGATAAATGTGTCACAGTGTTGAACACGGTTGAACGAAGCCAGTACACATTTGAACAGTTGAGTAACATCGTACTCACATACCGCTAGCTGGCAGGAGCTGAGAAGAACTTACGCACGATGTTAACGCACCACCTTTCTAGAAACTCAGCAATGAATCCAGATATAAAGGGATAAAACGAAACTATGATACTGTACGATCTTGAAACCATGAGTAGCAGATCATCATCATCAAAAACAACAACACATCAGCCATTTGAACTGATGCTTCGCTGCCGCACAACCACAATGACCTACGGAACGAAGAACAATAAGAGGGAGAGAAGAGGGACCTGGCGTAAAAGTTTAGTGCCCTAAACAAACACTCAGGGTCAAACCGCCTACAGTTTATCAGCAACATACCATCACAAACAGCTGGCTATTGTGCAAAGATAAGGCAGCATCGGTGAGACAGCCTACTTGCGACTTTCACTGCATCGTCATCATTATACACGTTAGCTAGAGATGGGAAACACCTCAGCTACTGTGTCACATCATAATCAGCCATAGCCACGCGGATAACTTAGCACCAGTCCGATTAGGAGACGACAGTAGGTGTGCCACTGGTCTCGACTGCGAGCCATGTCCTATACCGTCTCAATCCAAGCACAAGGCTGGTCACTTGGACTCAAGTCTGCACCCAGTTTGGCCGTCAATGACTTCATTTCTCCCTACCAAGTTAAGTTTTGCGCACCTCGGGCCTTGCGCCATCCTATATCTGGCAAACAAAACAATGCGCTCCTTCGGTAAGCGGTGACCAAACATACGTAGTACGTGCCCAATCCAACTCAACTTATTCAGTGCTAACTGCTGTTCTAAGGAACCAGCTTCGGTATCATTGCCTGGCACTCGTCTACGCATATCATCGTTGCGGACACGCTGGTGCCATTCGACACCAGTAGTGCTTCGCAGACAACGATGAGTCAAGACTTGTGGGCGCCGTAAGGTCCTCAGATCGGAGGGGCCAAGTCTCGCCCCCATAGAGTAGAATGGCCTTCACTGTGGCTTTGTATACACGGCCTTTTAGACAAAGGGAAACCCCTTTTTCAAGCCAGAGCTTCAAAAAGGCAGTTCTGGCTTTTGCAATGCGTGAACTGACTTCAGTCGTTATGCGCCCATTGTTGCTGATACAGCTGCCAAGGTAGGTAAGGTTTACAACCGCCTCGAGTTCACCGCTATCAAGGGGTCATCAAGTGGCCGGTGCAAAGCGCATACCAAATGATGGCACCACTCTAGAGAAGTTATTCAGGGTTGATTTTGCCGCTCCAATATCGTTAAACAACAAGACAATATCGTCCGCATAATCAAGATGAACCGCTTTTTCACCAGGCGGCAACGTAACGTCTGTATCGAGAGGCTCCGCAAGGGAACACCCCATGATTCAGTCCAGGACGAAGTGGACAAAAATGAGGAAATTTGACAACTTCGAAGTACGCCACTTGTTGGAAAGGCATCTGATAAATCACTGCAGACCCTGACGCGGCCTGTAGTGTTTGAGTATAGAGAACGTAAAATGTTCACATATTTAGCGGAAACATTTTCCGTGCAAGTATTTCGAACCTAATGCATGGATCGTCTGAATCGAACGCACTCCTGCAGTCCATGAATACAGCTAATGTCGGCTTGCGGTAGTATGGCGCTGCTCTAGCATCGGTCGCGGGGTGAATGTGTGGTCTATACAGCACCGTCCTGGGCGGAAAACTGTCTGCGCATCCCTCCTCCGGGATTCACGTTCCGCAGTGAGGCGACGAACGAGAAGTGGGGCTAGTAATTTTGTCACCACCGGCGTTAAGCTAATACCCCTGTGGCTAGCAGTCGGTGCATCTGCCCTTCTTGTACATCGCTACCATAATGATTCACTCGTTTGCTGGGATGGCTTCTGACTTCCAGACCTGTTCGAACAGGGAGGGCAGTACTGTGCAGAGGACCTCACTACCACTTTTAAACAGAGCGGATGCTAGGAAACCTGGGCAACAGCACGAAAACGATTAAGGGCTGCGATCGTGTTTCGGACCTCAGCCTCCGATGGAGCCTCTAAACTAACCGGCCATGACTCAGCTTGCATCACTTGAGTAGGAAGAGGTCCAGAAGCAGGGGATCAACTGAACTGCTCTCGAAAGTGCTTCGCCCAACGAGCCATACGGCGCTCCTTATTGTGAATCACGGCACCCGCGATGTCTCTGATTGTCTCGCTGACACCTGGTTTTCTGGGACCAGTAGTGCGGATCAGCTGCAAGAGCTTGCGATAATTGCCTAATGCTCTCTCTTGCTTGCTCCATTTCTTTAGCCCCACTGGTCCACCAGGCTTCCTTGTCAGCAAGCAGGTTCTGTTGTAGTTCACGTCTAATAGCCCGTCTGGTCACATTGTGTTCAGAGCCAGCCGGAAGGTGTCTTCTAGATTCCAACAGGTTCATCGACCTCTCGGATATCCAGTGACTGGTGCGGTGACGATTGATAGTGCCACAAGCGGAGACTCCTGCATGCTGCATGACGGCCGAGATCCTATTCCACTGAAGCCCAAGATCATTAGCAGGAGGGAGCGAAGGTTCGGTAAGCAGGGCGCTTTGGTAGGTTTACGTGACCGAGGAGTGAGCTAACTTCTCACCTTCCAGTCGCGGGAGTCTCTTGGTCCACCTTCCAGTAATATTCCTGAAAAAACGACAACGTGCCAAGGTATGAGCAGAGTGGACGCAAGTACTCCAGAACGAGAGGGAATCCGGGGTGGAACCACGCAACCTGTGACTTATGGCAATGTGAGCTGTTTGGATCTATCGCTGGTCAGCTACAGGAGGACACCAAGCGGCACTTCGTCGCTCACCGTGCCTAACAGCGTTGCTACTAAGAAACATCTGGTGCTCTGCACGCAGCTGTAACAGACACTCGCCGTTGTCCATACGGTCGGAGTTAAGTCCACAGTTACCACCTAGCTGAGCTTTTGAAGAGTTCAGACGACCTACTTGCGCATTCATTTCCCCTGCAAGAACTATGACATCTGAACTGGTAACATTGCGTAGTAGCGTATTCAGTTCGTGGTAAAAGATGTATTTGGCAGCATCAGAACCGAATTCATTGGGGGCATAGGCGGAAAGCACAAACAAACAGCGTTTCGTACTACTTCGTGAACCTACCTTGGTTGAGGCCATCAAACGGACTGCACACAAGCGGTTGTTCACAGGAATTCAATCAACTAACGATGACACGGCCTGGGAACTGATAACAATGTCTACTCCAGTTTGACCAGTGGTTACCGCATCAGCGTCTCCGGATGCGTGCAACCAATAGCGAGAGGACAAACCGGGTGCAGTTAATTCAACAACCCCGTGAGCGTCATTGATCTTAGTTTCGGACGTGTCTAACGTATGTGCGAGTGCAGCCTGTTGACCTATTTTTCCTAAAGTGGGAACGCTAAATACCTCCAAGGAAACGAGACAGTATGGTCGTAGTAGGAGCTGTTGTTGATTGGTGTCGAGTGGGTGGTGCGAGAAGATAGCTGCAGATGGTAGAACTGCAGTGGCTTTGCAACTGTTGTCAAGTAAAGCTGGGGATTGTGGGAGGAAGGTAGTAAACGGGGATTTGGAGAGGAGTAAGAGAAACAAGTGGAAAGAGAAGAAGGGAGACGTCAGCAGTAGCACGTTTCGCTTATCCGCCGTGCTGTATGCAGCAGATAAGGCGACCCATGACAAGCCGCGTGACGGCCGATGCAGCATGTCGCTGAAGTTGGAAAAAGTAGTCATGGTTGTACGTGAGCTAGTATACTGCCAGGGCGCGCAGATCTAGACAGCAGGACGATTGAAATCCTAAACAAAAGCCTGTCCGCGAGGCAGCGGATATGGTAACTATTCGGTTTTACAGAAATGAACGACATCCCGTTTCAAACTCCCAACCTGGAGGACCAAGAGAGTGAGTTCGTCTGAGGTCTAACCACTGAGCAACCTGGTAGGAGTAGCACTTAAGGGGCCCAAGGGCCCCATCCAGTAGAGCTCAATGTACCGACAAGTTACGCAAATCGTCACACCACGTTAAGGTTCAGTCTCGTTGCGACGGAGGAGCAGAAAATACCAGACCACCGGTGGAAAAAGCCATTCCCCGACAAGCAAGAGATCGTTTGTGATATCCCCATGTGGCAAAGGAGAATTTTCTGGATTACGACAGATCATGGGGCGAACAAATAAGTAACCTGTGGTGCGTACAACGATAAAAGTAAAGCTAAGTTTACTGCGTCATCCTCTTGTGTGGCGTCGCAGCCCGCCCATACTTCTCGCGAACGCGTGGTGGAAGTTGTAGAGCAAGAAAAGGCAGATAGTACGTCCAGACATTCAAACGAATGAATCCAAGATGTCTATGTAAGTGCCGTAATGCTTACAACAATATCGAACTAATTGGAATTCATCCACAATGTATTCCATGCTCTACCGACTGCAGTTCTATACCTAGCGGCGACTATGTTAGCAGATAACTGAGAATCTTTCGAATGCAACCAAAGTGATTCTAGAGACACAATGTCAAAATTCGTCCACCAACACATGTGATCAAGCAGATGTAAATAAGTCATTCAACCATGATTCCATCACCAAAATGCGATGGACCCACCTGTTGTGAAAAAATGACACCGTCGCCGTAAGACTGCTCATTTGCTTAATCAAAGAAGCTTTAGTGTAACGGCAACATTCCATAAGTTTGCCAATTAAATGACAGCTAAGGAAAAATTTTTAATAAAGTTTCTAGTGCGTAAGAGCATTTAACAGATTTTAACGAGGTGCCCAGAAATTCATTGCACTAATTATCCATCGCATTACTAAAATATTCTAAGTTTGTTTTACTGGACGATTTCCC